CCAGGACGTAAACCCACCACGTCCTCAAGCGCTGCCGCTGATCTTCCGCGACCGCTTATTTGCGGGGCCTAAGTCCATCTTATTCACGGTTGGCCGTGAGATGACGGCCATGACCTTGGGACGCGCTCGGTAGCATACAGCTCTGCTCTCCCGAGGTACTTCAGGAAGACCTAAGCTGTGCAACCAAATACTGTAGGATGTCGTCCTTAACTTTGTGGCACATCGATTTAATTAAATGAGTCTTCGCTTGAGGTGCACCAACATCCGCATCCCGAGTTACAATCATTTCACATCATTTCCATGCACCAGTGATGTTTTCACGTTCGTTGTCAGTGTACATTGGACCACGCATCATTCACACACACACCATTGAATTTCTGGGGTCCAGCGCTGCAACGCGAGCGCAATACTTTTTAACGTCCATTTTACACTTCTCTTGAGATACTCAAGAGAATTCCATTGCGCCTGTTCGCCGAGCTTGGCAATTTGTTTGCAAACGTTTCATCACCAGCTGAGGTGACATCATCAGTGCTTGGGAAGAGGAGACAGCGACCATATGGGTTTACGCGCCACTCAGAATCACTAAATTTGCGGAGACTTAATTTTGGTGTATCAAATACTGTAGAGCCTGGTCTGGGCTCAGACCTCTCTTCCGGCTTTAGTATGACTGCGCACCGAGTAATCCTATCTGATGACAGGTAAGACATGCCCCAGCAACCGAAATCTATGGAAATCAGGCGCATGTGAGTCAGAGCGTAAACAAAATCACCCAAAAGTTGGCGTTCAACCTCAGCATTGATTGTCCTCCGTACTCGTGCAGTTTGCAAAAACAGTGGATTCTCTTAAGCGGAGACTTCATGTGAGATGATAAAAAGCCTGTCTCTCATTTTAGCACCCAAGAAACTATGTGGTATCTTTAACACTTGAGACGATATTCAGTATTTATCAGAATCAAATTCAGAAATGACACGACTTGTATCTGGTAAAGACATCTTGTGCACATTTTCCACAGTAAAAATTTGAAACTTTGACTTTCATGCAGTGTCAGTATGCTGCCCTTCATGACCTCTTTTTCGTGTCATTCTTCTTTTCCAAAAACATATCGTTGTTTATTTTGTCATTCTTCCGCTGCGCTCCCAGGTCCCTCCAGTCAAGTGGCCCAACGTTTCTACCGTAGTTTGGTTAACGGATCCGTTTGTGGTTCTCCGTTCCTGGTCGGTGGTGTCAGTGGTTCCACCACGAGCGGTGCCATGACCAATAGCACTCAATCAACGGCTGTCTCAGGCGGGACGAATTCAAACGCAACCGTGTCCTCTTCTTCCGGCCCAGTCAATTCTCTCCTATCACCAACCAGCACATTTTCCAATCAGTACCAGACTGCACACCACTTGCGTGGCTTAAGTTTTACTCCTTTGGCTGTGGACTCAGATCTGAGCAGTGCCAATACAAACCCCTCTGTGGTTGATAGTGTGAATAGCGACCCGGTCGGGGTTTTACCCTCGTGTACAAGTTCATCACCGATCAAAACTTTGTGCACCACGGCCGAGAATG